TTGAGCATAATTTATTTTTTTAACCTAGGAGCTGTCATTGATAATTAACTCTTTCGTTTATATGATAGTCGTATGACAACATATTTAAATATAATGTTAATATCCAATATATTCTATATGAATATTCTAATATCCGGTATATCCTAAATACTGTCCTCTTAGCTCTCTTAATATTGTAAAGGATACAATGGGAAATGAATTCACATTTTTAATAAATTTTTAATTAATCAAATGAAATTGAGGGAAAGGACGAGCAAGCGATGCTAGTGTCTCTAAGTCAACTTCGACTATTGATGCAAACATCAACCACCTCGATGACTTCCGTGCCTAAGCCACTCAAGTATTTGAAAAGTTCATACAACAACATGAAGAACGCTCAGAAAACGATTCAAAGAGAGGATGTACAGCGTCAGTTCGCGGAAGTATTGAGCGTATTGTCGATGGCAGGTGCAGCCCAAGGATCCAAAGAATGTCTTCAGTATTGCACGCAGGGCGGGGTGACTAATCCCGGTGAATGGGGTCACGAATACGTTAGACAACTCGAAACTGAGATTGTAGACGAATGGACGAACGCTCCGGTGAAAGACGAGACTCGTATAAGGTATAAAAGGCGTACAACGATATTGATAATTTTATACTTAATCTCTTTTATTGCGACAGAAATGAACTCACCCCTTTGGTGAAAGGTATAATAAATTTCGATATGAAACACAACGCCGAAATACCTGGTTGCGATCTCTGCTTAGAGATCGATCAGTTAAATTTTTTGAGCGAGAATTTACACAGTAGAAATTTCGAGAGAGTTTGCCGGTATCTGGAAGGTTGCGCAGCTTACAGGTGAGTTCATACAATTAAGTTAACGCTCGATGTGCCTTTAATTTATGCCTGAAAAATTAGCGAGGACACCGAGAGGAGACAAATACTGCAAATGGTGGCCGATCAATATCTACGATTTGGGGAATATTGCAAAGCAATGCTGATTGCTCTTCAATTAGGGCACTCAGATCTGGTATCTCAATGCCTTACCACTTGCTCCGATCCTTTAATGCGTAAGCAACTGGCGTTTATACTCGTAAGACAAAGGGTAAATTCTTCGCATGGAACATTCATAGATTATTTCAAACATACGAATTTCTTTAAAATCTGTTAATCATTAGGAAAATCCTTTAAAGAAGGAATACCAAGGAAGTGACGTCAAAGATATCGAGATGATCTTAAGTAATAGCCACGTTAATAGTCACTTCCACGTATTGGCTACGGAACTCGACATCCTGGAACCAAAGCATCCGGATGATATTTACAAAACCTGGCTAGAGACGACTGTCTTGAGAAGAGCGGAACACGACTCAGCCAGGGCGAATCTAGCGGCCAGCTTTGTTACCGGGTTCGTTCACGCCGGATTCGGCAAGGACAAGCTAATGGGAAACGCTGCCGACGCTTGGGTCTACAAAAACAAGGTTCTTATCGAAAGACTTCCCATTGCGTAAATTTTTAGATGAAGCGTAAAAATTTTAACTATTACTATGAATATATCTATGCTTTATATCGACGTCTCTTATTCGTAAGATCCTATCTCAGCGGACTTATGTAATATAATCGTATTTCACGGCTAATTGATTTCACTGTGTTGAAAAACATTGTTCCTGTACTGATGTCCGAATTACAGTCACGTTGAACACTTTATTGAAATACAAGATTGTCGCACCGGCATTTGAGTAACAATCGTGTTGAATTATCCGTGAAATACAATTATATTGCATAAGTCCGTCGAGGTTCAATGTTATAAATAGGAGATTTGATGTTAGAAGTATTATTAAAAACGGATTAGTATATAAACAGTAAATGAATTTAGAATAATTATTATAATATGAAATTAATTATTAAATAGGACCACGGTATGCTCTCAGCGACCGCTTCCTTGGGTCTGATACATATGTGGGACGTGGATGGTGGTCTAGTCCCGATCGACAAGTGAATCGAGTCCCTTATCGTAATGAAACGGTAATATGCGACCACGGACGTGCGCGGAATAAGATGCGTTTAATTCGCAGGTATCTTTACACAAACGATCACTACATAAAAGCGGGTGCGTTGCTCGCTATAGGGCTGGTTAACTGCGGCGTTCGCAACGAATGTGATCCGGCTTTAGCCCTTCTTAGCGATTACGTGTACTCCGACAACGCAACCCTTAGAATTGGATCCGTTTTGGGATTAGGTTTAGCTTACGCTGGTTCACAAAGATCAGATGTGACGGATCTTCTAACGGGAGTCCTTGTGGACAAAGCAAGTATGTTCGTTCGTCTTCGTTTAAATCATTGAACTTTCCAGTATAATTAAAAAACAGGGAAACGAACGTTTTCTGTAATACAAGTACCAATTTTCAAATTTTATTTGAATTCTGCAAATATTTTCAACTTTGAATTGTGAATTTACACAGGTACCATGGAAGTGATTGCGCTAGGAGCAATCGCAATAGGGTTGATAAATGTTGGCTCTGGTAATGGCGATGCTTCTTCAGTTCTTTTGCAGAGATTGCTAGAACTCACCCCTCAAGAACTAGCCAATACTCATTCAAGGTTGAACATTAGTGTCAGGCGTATTAAACAAGAATAAAGAATGATTCTTTGCCGTTTTTTTTATAGATTTTTGCCATTGGCATTGGGAATGATTTACATGGGGTATCGCGATAATATTGAAGCTCCTTCAGCTGCACTTGAAATTTTGCCCGATCCTTATAAGTTGGCTGCGCAAACCATGTTGCAGGTAAATATTTTTAGGATTCTTATATTANATTTTAATATCAGGTATGCGCCTACGCCGGTTCAGGAGACGTGTTGATTGTTCAAGAATTGTTGCGAATCTGTTCGGAACCGGTGGATGGTGAAAGCGTTCCCACAACCCCGGTCAATACACCTGTGCCGAGTTCTTGCTCTCGAAGTCTTGATTTGTCTGAGAAGAGGACGAAGGAGAAGTCGGAAGAGAAAAATGAAAGCTCTAAGTACATTCCTCCTTATATCATATTTCTTCCTTGAGTGCATTGCTAGCTGCAGGATGTTTCTTCGTGTTATAATTGGGAAACTCATTAAAAAATACATAAAATATTAAAGAAAGTACAACATAAAGTTTCCATAGAATCATGTTGAAAAATTTGTTGAATACACAGATGCACTTTTCTAATATTCATCCAATGGTACATTTATATGGTTATTCCATATGCTAATTATACGAAGAATCAATGGTTGTACCACGATTTTAGAGACATCAGAATATGTCTTTCTATATTTTATAATTCCTAATGGTTTAGGGAGATCGGATCGTCGCAAGCAATAGCAACCTTGGGTGTCGCAGCGATTGGTTTGGGCGAAGGAAAAGAGAACTCGAGGATATTTGGTCAGGTGTCAAATTTAAAATTCACGAGAATTTTCCCACGATTTTTGGAATTCATAATGATTACTTTAGTTGGATTCAATTCTAACGAATAATTTCTTAGATTGGAAGATACGGCTCGATTTCCGCGAGACGCGCGATGCCACTGGCTCTTGGCTTGTCGTCTTTGTCAAATCCAGACTTGTCGGTTTTAGACGTTTTGAATAAATACAGCCACGACCACGATTCCAACGTGGCGAACAACGCGATTTTTGCCCTGGGCCTCGTCGGTGCTGGAACGAATAACGCTCGTCTCGCCACCATGTTAAGGCAATTGGCTTGTTACCACGCAAAGAATCCTATGCACTTGTTTCTCGTACGAATTTCTCAGGGCCTCGTTCATCTTGGCAAAGTAAATAACATTTATCTACGAATCAGTATTTAAATTTAATCAATATTCCTTATTAGGGCACGTTGTCTATATCTCCATTGCGGTACACTTCCAAAGTCTTGGACAGAGCCGCGTTGGCTGGCTTGCTGATAGTTCTGGTGGCGTTTCTCGATTGTCAGAATCTCATACTGTCCAAATCTCATTATCTAATGTATTCTCTAGCACTTGCCATGGAACCGAGGTGGCTGGTCACGTTGAATGAAAATTTAGAGGTAAGATCTTACAATTCTCTTTTATTCATGATGAATTTTATCTAATTAAAACTAGGTTTAAATCGATTCCTTGATTTGCATGTTGGAAATCGACTTGTTTTAAACAGAGTCTACCGGTGTCTGTAAGAGTTGGTCAATCGGTGGACGTCGTTGGTAAAGCTGGTAGTCCAAAATCCATTTCCGGTGGATACGTTCATACGACTCCGACGTTACTTTCTTCCGGGGAGAGAGCGGAGCTCGCTCTGGACGAGTACGAGCCGTTGGCTACCATTCTTGAAGGTTTTGTCATTCTTCGTGAAAAGCTAAACGTTTCCTAAATCCAAAAACAGAAGATAACGGATAGTGGAATAAGATTGTGAATTCCGAAAGGCAACGCTGGGACAAATGGTTTCTTTATTTCACGAGATAATAGTAAGAAACATGATCAACAGACGCGTGTAATTATGCAAGGCGAACTCACTGGGAACCAAAACGCGAACAGTGAATCGTTTCAGTGTCGTACATTATTCGTATAGTTCTAGAAATTTTCTCATGTAGTTCGTAATAAAAAAAATGGGATTAAAATTTGTGTAGAGAGACAGAGAATGTACAAAGTGGATACTTTGTACGTATCGACGAGCTGATAAACCACGCGTGTTCGCAATCCATCACTCATAACAACGATGAGATACTGTGGAAATTACTCAGCACATACTCAAGCGAAAAACTGTTCAGACACCTCCCCTTTTTGCGTGTGTTGGTTCTGTGTTTATTTAAACTTGAGGGACTAGCGAAAGCGATATGCTCTATACAACAGAAACATACAATTGGTTCGCATTGCACAGTATAAACGATAACGGTGCACCATGATCTGACAATTTGTCACGGTACGGAATCGTTCCACTTTACGCTAGCAATCATCATAAAATAAAAATACTCGACGTTTAATTAAAAACAAAAAAAAAAAACAAAAGGAAACACAGTTTTTTAAAAAACTCAGGAGATAGAAGCATAATGTATTAAATGAAAAACGCGAAAAGAAAGAACTTAAAAAAAGAAAACGAACGATTGTCCGAATAAAAGTAATCCAAACGACCTGAAGTGACAATTCAACATTTTAATTTTCCTAAAAAGTTCATTATGAAAAAGACGACCACGCAATATAAAATAGTTCTCGTTCCTTTTCTTGTTGTTTTAATAAAATTTGTTTGAACACTAAAATTTTTCTTTTGCAATAAAAGCCAGAATACGAAAGAAACTGGTTGAATGAATTTTATGATAAGTAAAATTCACTCGACTTCCATTGGTAAAACGCTGCAAATAAAAGATAAATATTGCAGTTTATTGAGTTTGATAGTGCGTACAAAAAGCGGATCATAGGAAAACGATATCGAGTGAAAGAGACCTCCGCTCTCCTGTAGCTTTTGGTTTTTCAACATGAATAATGATTAATTAATATGCTCTTTGTCACACGAAGTGAAGGGCTTACTCTTTCTTCTCTTTTAATTTCTTTCTCTTCATCTCGCAGGATCATATTGCGCAAGATCATGGAGCACGTTTCGAAAACCTCTAGGAAATTGCACGAAACGTGTTATCTATTTCTCTCTTTTACGCGCGAGAGACAGCGATAAACTTCCAGTTTAGAGAAATGTCCGCCGACATTTTTATCTTTTTTTTTTATATATATAGGCACATATGACTTAGGGTAAAAGACGAAATGTAAAGTTAAAACGCGACTTCAGGATCTCGTTTAAATTATTTCCCACTACGGTGTGGATTCTCGTACCAAATTGAAAATGTTTACTATTATTACTATTTTATTCCCCCCTTTTGAACGTAATTTTGCGATCGCCCCTGATATACAAAGTGTCCCAGAATTCACTGCGCAAGATCATGGAGCACGTTTCGAAAACCTCTAGGAAATTGCACGAAACGTGTTATCTATTTCTCTCTTTTACGCGCGAGAGACAGCGATAAACTTCCAGTTTAGAGAAATGTCCGCCGACATTTTTATCTTTTTTTTTTATATATATAGGCACATATGACTTAGGGTAAAAGACGAAATGTAAAGTTAAAACGCGACTTCAGGATCTCGTTTAAATTATTTCCCACTACGGTGTGGATTCTCGTACCAAATTGAAAATGTTTACTATTATTACTATTTTATTCCCCCCTTTTGAACGTAATTTTGCGATCGCCCCTGATATACAAAGTGTCCCAGAATTCACGGCTTCCTTCTTAGGATGTGAAAGAGGACGAAAGTCGACAGTCCATCTTCCACTTTTTCCTCTAACAGTTACTAATAAGTTATTAACGGAGAAAGTGGACCAATGGCGTGTCCGAGTAAAACTGTCACTGTAGAGGAACAAGTGGAACTCTTCACTCAGAATTTCATCCTCTTTCATAAGCTGAGAGGGAAATCGTGCATTTTGGGACATCCTGTATATATTATATTCTACGGAAAAGTACGAAAAAAGATACATTTCGTTTAACGTGTGCACATACACGCTCTTCCTTTCACATATGCAGCTTGCCGTCTGACGTACTCGGGCAATCCTCACTTTGTTTGGATTTATATAGATATATGCCGAAAGAATGATTGCATGTTGATGTAAATTATATATAAATCAATGAAATCGAGTGAAGTACTATTTGTATTATAGTATGTTGCTTTGTCAACAGATATGTTAAAACCAGTGGAACGGTATTTTAAGTATATCGATAGTTACATCACTCGGCAAGCTGACTTCCTATCTACTTATACCTTAAACTTCTCATTTTTCCTTACAATAAAATATAATAATAATGATAGTTAAAAATTAATAGTGTAATAATAATAATAATTAATAATAATAATAATTGCTCTTATAATAGTAGCGCTTTCTTGTGTTATAACCCTTTGCAAATAGTAGATGTGTTGTTTGTGTGACTCAAGCGAACTGTTGAAATGGTATATACGTTATGTATATATTTCTCTTTGTACTCCCGTTGCTTCTTTCATCCTCTCCTAATAGCTATCGTTTCGTTTATTTACAACAACGAATGCGCACTATCAACGAGTATTACACCATTTTTCTGGCTGCTACACATATCCGCGTTGAATATTCTTCCTTCGCGTCATTATCTTTAAATTTATACGTTCACGCGGATCAATATTAAAGACAATGTTCCTGTTAAATGATAAAACCTCGTACGATCCTGGTGTGTCTCACTTAAGTTTAACTACGTACTTTCCTAAAATTAATTACCCATCTACCGTCGAATCGGTTTTTCAGAACCAAAGACAAAATCGCTTCTACAGAACCGAAGACAACCTGGTTCACGAAAATCGGAGTATATGCTAAGTTATGAGTTTTCTTCTTCCCCTCGGACTGTTTTCCATTTGAAAACCAATAATAGTTATTGATATACATTCAATATATCCTTTTCTTTTCCCTAACAACGTCGAGTTCGAACGTTTCAGTGTTCTCTGTCTTGTCCTCTTATCTTAGCATAGACAGATATATTATATTCACTTTTACTTTCCCTTGTGGAAACATTACTTTCCTCCTGCCCCCTCCCTCTGTTTTTTACTTTTCTTTATGAACAGCAAGTATTCTCCCGAAAGAAGCACCGAAGTCACAGGAGACAATGAACTCTATTTACTCTCGTTAACGATTAAGCTACCTGTGGATTCGTTGCTGAGAGAAGAAAATTGACGACCAAGTGATAGCGTGTATTTTGTGTATGTGTACTGTGTGTTGATGTGTACATCATCGTGTAAGCGACGAACGTGTCTGTATTCGTGTGTCCGTGGCTAAATGCGACGATGATCCTGTGAATGTTTCGTATCGACGCGATACCTGCCCATCGTCGCTTCATCGCGGAACGAACAAACGAATACGTGTTCCAGTAAGAAGGAATGTACACTCTATCAGTACGGTAACAACACAGTCGTGACACGATGAAGGTAATAATAAGTATAACACGTAGCGTAATTGCCGTCGGTTAAAACAGCCGGGCGCGTCTTTTGATTTCGTTACGACGCCATTGCGGTAGTCTATAGAATTCGGCGCGAGTGCACTGGAGAACCGCCTCGAATTCTGCATCGGATAAGTGCCGCTGTGAACAGAAAGTTAAGCAAAATGCGATTTTTAAATAATTATTCATCTTTTTCACTTGCCTTGGGGTCGAGGATAATGGATCTTATGTTTTATTGATTGATTTTATTGATTTGTATCTTTACAAAAGAATTAAATACCAATAAAACGATTACAGCACTTTATGTGACCTTCGTAGTTACACAACCGTTGTTCAGATAAAAGCTATTTAAAGTTGTCACGTTATGAGAATCACACTATATATCTTGTCAATGAAATGAAAAAAATATGTGGATAAGGGAAATTAAATATTTTCTGGTATAGTTTTTTAATAACGAAATGGTAATTTCCATCTAACATATAAAAAATGAATTGGATCTCGTTTTTGATCAATTAGTCAAGCCATTTAAATTTGTTTCTCTCGTACTTTTGATTACTTACTTCGAGGTTGCAACGGTCCACATCAGCTGGCAGCCTATAGTTGGTGATGACAAGTAAATGGTAAGGATAGAGTTTCGGCGGCTCGGATGGCGCCGTACCCATGTCTGGCAGTGATCTCCTTACGTGATGTCCCCCGCGACTTCCGACTACCGAACCTAGCCCACCTGTATATGTGGTGGATGATGGCAGCATACCACCATCATTCTGAAGCACCATTCACTCGTTAATCCCGATTGAAAGTAATCCACTCTTAATGTGTAATCAGCATTAATAACGATGCAGATATGGAAAAGTTTCTCGCATATCTCCCTCGTTCGTTTAATCATCAATGTCAGAATAATAAAATTGATTATCTATGATAATACAGAAATTATTGACATATTTTCAAATTAAATATCTCTTAAGCCTCGCTTATATATAAAAAGAATTAGTATATTCCGTAAGACAGCGTTTAAAAATTTGCGAGAATCTTTTATTCTGCAAGTGTTCGTCACAAGAACCGATATATTGCAGCAATAAAAAAAAGAAACACCGCTTACGTTAAAATTGCTTATTAGACAGAACTATAACTAGACTGAAACGGATGATAGGAACTGGCATTTTCGCGAATCAAATAAGTCTTTCAATGTAATACATGTATGTGTTATGATTTCTTTGAATCATTATTAAAGCGACGCACAAATCACGCGCACAAATCTGATAAATCTCATGCGTGTTAATTTCAGTTTAGATAGTTCCGTTTCTCGACTCGTATGAGATGTAAAAAGAGATGCAAAATAGATATGCAGTCAAGTAATGAGAACGCCGTCGCGCCGATCTTATTGTCGTTTTCATACGCACGTACAAAACTCACATCGTGTTTTCGTAATAGCGAACAAAAAATAAAAAATATCAATCTACGTGTCGTCTATGAATTTCACAGCAAGTACGAAGCTAATGCAGCCTTTGGTGTAAGACACTGCAAGATGACAAGTTAAAGCCATCGCGATCGTGCCCAATTTTTTAGTGGGTAACAAAATTGAATATGCAGATTTGAAGTATGCCAAGACAATAAAAGACTTGTACGGAAGGATGCAAAAAAAGAAGAATAAAAAAAAGTGTATCGCAGCAGTAATGTACAGCGCGTGCATGCGTGAACCAAATGTACAATCACGTATTTATATACAATTCGTTATCTTACACGTATCAACAAATCGCCAATGCTTGTTATGTACAAACAAGATCTAATGTAGTGTAGTAGATCTCTATTTTAATTGAAAAATGTAATTAGTACGCGAATCCTTTGCGCGTACTCGAGACATTTTACAAAAGCGTTTGAAATGATTGTCACGACGATACTCGGTCGTGATAATTATGTTAACTAATAATTCAAAAATGCAAAACAAGCTACAAACCATGCTAATTCGCCGGGAGTAGTATGGGGCTGTGGTACATACCAATGCCCGTCGATCCACATCCGTGATGCTGCCTGTCGATACTAAAGTTTGGGGAAAAATGGGAAAGAAAACCATGTCAAACCGTGTTGCACAAACCATATGGATTATGTTAAGTTACAATCTTTCTATCTAATCGGTTGATCATATTCCGAAAGGTGATACATCTGTATCAAGTTCTTCAGCTCCCATAGACATATTGTGTATAAACTTAAATTTAATGTTTAACTTTATATTTAATTTATGATAAATAGAGAAATTAATAAATAATTAATAAATAATTAAAAATAAATATTAGTCATGGTTAATTACAATTTGTGCTTCGTGAATTAGGAGTTGATAAAAAGTTGATGCAGTCAGGATTATGATAAGACCTGTAATTGGGAATACGATCGACCCGATAAAATCACTATAGAAGCAAATGTTTGATGGTTCTATTATACATGTGACCTGAATTCAATTCCTAAGCTATGCAATGTGTACTTATGTACCAGCTGTCAAATGATTATAGTGATCGTGTCACAAAGTCACGTTACTGGATGTACATGTCATTTGAGCACACTATAAACTCCTCTCGGTTAATGATGCGAAACAATTCTTATTATGCAATATCTTTTAATCGAAAACGGAATATCGTAACTCGTTCGAATATTCTAATACTCAGGCGTACATAATTAAATCAAAATAAAGTCAAATAAAAGATAGAGGTAGATAGATAAATAGATAGACTCCTCTAGTATAGAGGACGGATGCATTAGTAAAACATGCTCAGGTATTAAGCCGTACGATCGAATAAAATAATTAAGAACAAAACAAATTCTCGCGAGTGTCCATCACTCGCGAATTAGAAAAGTAAAATAACAATTAAAAAAAAATAGTTAAGAACTATAAAATAAGCATGTCCAAATTGAAAAGTCAAATGTATACATATAGCTCGAAGAGAATATGTAGTAGGTATATGTACGTGTCTCTGATGTTTTGTAAAGTTTGCTTTCCTTTTTTTTTATATTTTACTCACTATCTGATTTGCCGGATGAAAAATCAGTGCTGTGCGTCTTGTCTCCCATCCCACTGAATGAATAATCACCCTAGACGACAGAAAAGCGTATTTCTTAGAAAAAATTGAGGTAGTGGTATCATAGCGAGTTGAATTCAAAACAGATAAACAGATATGTATAATTAAAAAAAGAACGTGTACTCGTAATCTCTACAACGTTTCTTTCATTTTTTTTTTCATACTGTTCATTTATCAGCAAGAAAATCAACAAGAACAACGGTGCAAGAGAAGATTTGTCTTTTTTCTCTGCTTTGGTCGTCGAAATTTGTGACGCGGTGCAAGACTTACAGGGAGAGCAGATACAGAACCGCCGGTCGAGGAGAAGGTGTGACTTCGCGGTGCCAGACCGTACCCTGGCTTCGGGATGTGCCGAAGGGAGCTCACAACTGGTTTCAAATCAGTCAATCGACAAGTATTACTTGATTAGTGATCAACGGGAACATCAATGGAAATCGTTCATTCCCATACGAATGCCCAACGTTCGCCAAAAAAAATTACTCGTTAAAGAAAAATGAATACACAAACCCTTCTGTGTGTACGAGACAATTACGGTGGTGTTTTCTCGGATTCCGTTTTCGTGTAAAAAGCAAGCGTTTTTTAGGAAATCGAGGAATTCGTGTCCTACTTTGCTTTCTTTCATTCGCGCACAGTGAGCAGCAAATATGAATCAATAAAAATATATTTCAACAATAATTTAATAATATTGTGCTTAAATCTTTTTTCCGCATACGATTGCGGATTCTTTTACATCATACATCATAATTCATTTTTGATTTCTCACTGTAAATATTATTAAAGGTTTTTATTTTTCCTCTTGCGGGGGATGAAGATAGAAGATCGTAACAGATAAAAGAGAGGAAGGGTGGAAGATATTCGCTGTGTCAGAGTGTCCTCTATTTGAGCTTCAACCTCAAGTTTTGCCGACTTGTTTTAAATCGCATTCCCGCAGAAATGTGGGACATACCCGATTTACAAAGTGCACAAGCGTTATTTGTGCAAGGTATAGTAATACGTGTGTACACAACGAAAGATGAAGAACTGTGTATGTATGTATACGTATGTATAAATGTACTCATTACATTATATGTACAAAGCCAACACCTCTGTGTAGCTATCATACACAGTACAATCAAAAGTTTCGTTTATCGAAATAAGCTTAAGAGAACAAGAAAGGTTGCCTCCCGTGAAGCCAAGTCAATGAATCATCACGTCATATGTTTTGCTTCAATCTCATTTCTTTCTTTTAGACAAAAAAAAAACTGTCAAACTTGAAAATTTATCTTCAGACTGAACAAAAATCTTTCTCTTCCCTATAAAGATTTTCTTCTTTCTGTTTTGTTTGTTAATCTTGAACTTGACTTGAGATCAACGGTAGGTGAATTGGAAAGTTCTCGGACTCACCGAATGATAGTGCCTAGCGGCGTTTGGAAGAGTGAAGGCGCGTTGAGTACCAAGGGGTGGATAGTTTCTGGGAGCCGGGGAACGTGCCGATGACCTCCCAACTGCCGCCCACGCAAACACAACACAAACACAAAAACACAAATAGAGACACGATGATACAAGTAGCGGTGTGCCGGCTAACGTAAGTAGCGGTATAATCCTATTCAATTCCTTTGAACGTTCCAACATTGGAAGATACGCGTTCGAATTGGACAAGAGCGTGCCGTAAAATAGAAGTTACTTCACAATCCCTTCGTTCATGTTTATCAAGCAATAGCAAATTATGCGAGTACATATATAAGTATATATTGCCGAGTATGGTCAACGCATGAAATAATGGGAGTCGAATCGAATACGCATTACTCTACTTTGAGAAGGATGAACTTTCCACGCACATTATTCTTTTCTTCTTCTGTTACTCGCACAACTTTGCGTATAGAGAAATATAACCGAGAGAGAAATAAGAAGAGGCAAGCACATCGAGGATAATTAATGCCGATCACATGCACAAGCGGAATTAAATACATCACCTGTTACGTTAAATGAGGCGCCCAGTGTGTGCTCTGGTATTTGGTGCTATGCCACTTAACTTATAAACTCTTGCTCGAGTTTACACATACGCTTATTCATTCGTTAATCGAGCATCATCATCATCATCATCATCATCATTATCATCATCATCACACCCCTTCTTACTGCAAGATGCGCAATGTTGCGTTCCACGATAGAAAAAATTTATATTTCATTCTTTCAAATGGTGTCAAAGGGACAATATTTTTTCGCTGCCCCCATCCCCGCTATCACCACGGAATTTAATGGACCGATGTTACTTTAAACGGTAGAGTGGTAAATGTTAGTGTTATGTGCGAACGTGTGGACATGTATGAGATGATTATCATATTTAATGTTAATGAAACGGTCATGAAATACAATATAAATATAATATATAGTAATGCCTAGAGTATTCATTAAATTAAGAGGGAACTTACCGTTGTAACTGGGCCCTACGCTTGATCTGTAACTGTAACCATCATCGTCTTCCCATGGCCTGGCGTGATCTATATTTCTCGATGGCGCTGTAGGAAAAGAAAAGAACAAACATTTATACGATTTTGAGAAACACATTAAGTCTCCGTTCTTAACAACAGAAATTAGCCATACGATATTATTAAACAGTGTTTATACCAATCGTTCATTTCTTACTTATTTTCTGTTAATGATAATTCACAATTGGTGGAAGAACGTTCATATCACTGGAATTTTATTGGACTCAAGGAAGGACAACCATTTACTAGGTTTAAACATACCTTGAGGTGAAAATGAAGAATATTGAGAAATTATCACTTACATGCCCCGACTGGACTTTCGTATCGCAATCTGTAGGTCGGTTCTCTGGCAGCGGATGGAGTTCTCGAAGCGTTTCTAGGATCGACGTTTGCCGCCTTATGTCTCAGATTCTCTCGATCCTTTTCCCGATCATGCAGGAACACTTTTGCTATCCCGGTGTCGATTTTACTCAGCTCGTCTTGTTCTTTCTTCAGTTTCTCCTCTGCCTCTTTAATATACATTTTATTATCCACCTCATCCTCGTCATCTGATGCAGGTACCCCCTAAACGAGCATAAAATTAAGAGATATGATTTAAACCGTCGTTTGATCATTTTTTTTCTGAATCGATTTTATTACGATTGGAAATGAAATGAAAAAAAATGTTTTGAGTCCCAAAGAATGAAGTGATAATACCTTGTAAGTATCGGACCATCGTCTGCGTCTTTCAGGGTCTGTGTAAGGATAAGGCGGAGCGGGAAAATCATCTCTTTCGATTGGCGTCTTCGTGCCAGGAGGATGTTTCATAGCATCCGGATAATGCGCTAGTTCTATTGGCTCGTCATTATCTACTTGACTGGCCGGTGACTTCGGTCTGGTCTCGCTGAGAGCATCGACCAGGGCACGCATTCCGGATCGACTACTACGTCCGCCACTGCTTCTTATCGAACGTGACGCTGGAATGAAATTATGACGCAGTTCAGAGATTTATGATCCACTCTCTCGGCTTTTGCTTGCGCATTCATATAATTTCATCTCGCGACGACGGATCTGTGATTTTTCAATTTTACTTATTATTTCTTAAGTACATCTATACATAACACGCAAGAATATCCGTATAATGACTTTTTAATGATTTTATAAATATTTTTTCTTTGGAGATTCTCTTCTTAAATTCGACACATGGTTGTGTCATGAAAAGAAGGATTATATGTTCGAATTGCTGAGAGAATTTTAAGAATGAATTTTAGAAAGTTTAATGAAAATTATGGTAAAGGTACTTACAGCTGGGTCTATGAAAATGCGGACTTGTCGGTGGTTTGTCGTAGGGCTGTATCGGACGTCTCAGGTATCCCTGGCTGGGCGTTTCGGTCAAGTACGAGTAAGTATAAATCCTGGACACGTCTTCTGATGGACCACGTCCATATTCTCGCAATATCAATCCGGGACTGCCGGTTCGCGCGGGGTAATACTGGGGCAATTAACGTATATTTATCACGGCTAAACTCGTGATTGTTTTTCTTTCTTTTTTAACGAATTGTCTGTCTCTCATACCGCTCGATAAATTTAGCTGTATTTACTTAGCAACGGAAGAAAAAATAGCTCAATGCTCAAGAACTCCCTCTTAAGAAACCCAACTGAAAATCGCTAATCAACAAATAAAAACTTCTTTCATTTTTTGCAATATTCATCGCGTGATTCTTATAGAGTTTCTCATGCCAAACAGGAATCTAGAAACAGAATTGCTCTATCACGTTCCGTTTTTTGGGAAATGGTACCTGATAGAGCAATTCTGTTTCCAGATTCGTGTCTGGCACGAGGAGGTCTATAAGAATCACGTGATGAATATTGCAAAAATTTTTTGTATTGGTCAGTGAACTTGGAGTGTCATGTCGGTCTTTTATAAAACGAACTAGATATTTGATAACTTGAATTTTCGTTTTTAATGATCGAAGGTGTTTCTTCAGAGAGTGGCTGTGCTTTTGAAATACGTGGCATACCTTGCGACTGAGGCTGCTGTAAGGGCTGCAGAGTGATCCGTTCAGGCTTGGCGTGCGTGACCGCAATGAAAACTATACACAATGACCGTGCGAAAAAAAATAAACAACGATTAAGAAAGCGGTAATAAAAATAAAAAATAATAAAACAGATCAAAAATTAATATAATAAACGGTTTAAGTATGTATGTATACTTGTATACATGTATGTATGTATGTATCACATAAATGTTCGATATGTATCGAGAAATTCCGGACGGACATCGAAGCGTGCGACAGAAGGTACAATGACATTGTTAAAGAACAAATGCATGTTAAAAGCCACATATGTATCGCTTTATAGTATGAAAACGAAGCTATACACAAAGCTAGTTACGAATAAAAGATTAATACTTTAGGTTCTATATACTCATCTACATCTAAATTGCTCTGTGTAAAAACGGACACAAAAATTAACCGAGCAGCAAAAAAGTCTTTACACGTAAAATACGTATCGTACAACAGTCCAAATGTAAGCACGATGCAAGCTGAACTTCGTATTTCCATGTCACTCGAACCAATATTGGCTCGACAACGGGATACATACATTCCTCTGATTATTATGTCCTTTTGTTCATCCCAAAGTTCGGAAATAATTCAAGTATGCGCATGTAGGCGATATTTAGCACGTACAATGCAAGTAATGAGAAAAAATGCAACTTACGTTCACGCATTAATTTCGAATTTGAATAATGATCGAACGTGAATTGTCAAATGTGAAAATGATAGATGATCATGTCCTCGATAATAATGTTTTCTCTACGAAGTTCAATGATTTATTCGATATAGAACGAATACCAAATTAGGTATGATCGAAAATGTAACAACCACCATTTATACACAAATAAATATACACTTATTGTACAATATTTTACAAGAACAATGTACAGTTCGCCAGTTCCGATTAAGACATCGCGGTTATAATAAATAATCGCGATCTGATAACAGTCCAATTCTGTTTGACTGTTTGCCAAAATCGCCAGAACAGTAGACGATCTTCAATTTGTCGATTTGTTATCTCGACTATCGCGATCTTACCTGCATCTCCGAGGCGCTGCTGGAAATCCGTTCAGATTCTCGATGCTGCGGCGTGTGCGCTTCTCCGTGACCGTTCACGATGCCGTTCGGGCCGCTCGGACCCGGACCGCAACGTGGGTGCCATATGGCGGCGCCTTGCAAATACATCTCCTCTCCGTCACCGAAAGGGTCGCCGCATTTGGTGCAACGAGCACAAGTCGGATGAAAATGATGATTGTCACCGGCCTGCAGCACCTTCCCACTGATGTAACGATTGCAATAGGCGCATTTCACGCCGAATTGTTTCTGATAATCCTTCTCGCAGTAAGGCACCCCGTCTCTGTCGATCAAAGTCGAAGAATTTTCGTTTGTTCGTTCAATTCTTTTCATGTTTGGACAAGTGAACCTAATCTAGCTCGTCAGATAAATACAACGTCCAAAGTTGCAATGCTCTTCTAATTCGTACCTATTATAATGTCCCCTCACAAATCTATTTTTATATATGTGATTTCTTGATCATTGATATGAAAATTTAATGGAATATAAAAATATGATAGTGTCCTTTATGTCCAACGTTAAATCGATCAAATTGAAATCTTTGAATTAGATTAAAATTCCATTAGGGCTCCAAAGTGTAATGTTTGGAAAACAATTTCCAACTCACTTTCCCATGTATTCTCCGTGTAGCACGGTATCGCAGCTATGGCATTTGAAGCACCATACGTGCCATTGTCGATCGAGCGCGACCAAAGCCTGACCTTCCCTCAATTGATTTCCGCAACCGGCGCAGGAACCGGGGTCAGAGGGCCCGTCTCCGGCTCCTCTGGTGGCAGTGCTATTCCCGACCGGCGTCGAGGCCTCTCGAACAGGGATGCCGACGCATCGGTGGCACAGAGCTTGACCTATAGATGACTCTCGGTTACATCAAGATTGAACAGATCCGGTCAAACGTCAAGCGGTCCGCGAGATCATTTCGGTGACGCATGCACGCCTCCATTGTCTTTTATTCGAGAAATGACGAGCTAACGCGACGATTGGAATGATTGGACTTTAGCATACGGTACTGTCTTCTCGATGGCTGATTCATCGCTTGTACGCGTTGCAGTCACAGCGATGGACAAGAAGACCCGTTCACGCTTGTTTACTCGTTCGATTTGCATGTCTCCGCGTATAAATAGTCGAGCAATTCCAGACGTCTCTCTTCGACCGGTGCGTTGGATTCGATTCTCACGGTGACAGATAATTTTATCGCTCGTAATATAAATTATACTAAGAGAACTTATAGTACTGTATTGTTTTAAGCTTTCTCAGAATGTACGTTTTTCTCTATTTAACTGGGTTCAAAGATCGGAACGCGAAACGGAGATTACAATAGTATTTGTGGGACAGTCCGTCTAAAAATATTCGTAGTTATCGACGTTCTCGACAACAGCTAATCGATGAAACCATGAAGGATGCACATAAACATTTCCAGTAGACTTGGAAAACAACGAGGGATACTGAAAACGGGACAAGTTTAACTTGCGATACCGCTTAAGTTTCTATGCGGCGCGCCGCATTTTTATATGCGTTAAGCGTTACAAGGCTACGCGCCAGCGTAACCTCGTTCGCTGACGATACACCTAAGTGGTAATTTGCATTAACAGGTTCACCGGTACCCTAATTTCATGGTTCGAGTGGCAACGAACGAATCAACGTTTTTCTACAGGTTCGATCGAATCGTCCTGATCATACGAGGCTTGTTCCAAAAATACTTAATCGTGTTTCATGTTTTCAATTTGAATTAACTGTAACTTTTAGTTTAATAAAAATTACATATGCAACTTTTTTTTTATCTTTATGCATTTGAAAGTTTGTTCATATAACAAGTTCAAATTATTATAGTTTTGTCAGTTATATCAATTGTATCGATATTGTACATGATTTTGGAAAAGGGTAAGGTCTAAAGAGATACTTATTGGACAACCCTCGTATGTCAGTGGCTGTAGAACCCTAGTTGCCTTTGTTAAAGACTCACCCTGAACGAGGGATACTTTGGTCCCCTGTCCTAGCAACGGTTGTCTACATCTCTGGCAGTGAAAACAGTTAGGATGAAACGCGTGCTTCTCACCGGCGGTGACCACGTCGCCCTCCACGTATTCTCCGCAGCCCGCGCACTTCGTCCCCCAACGTTCCCTATAATCCTGAAAAATTAAGATACCCACACCCACGGTCATTACAAGCGCATCTGACATGTCCCAGAGTTTCCTCCGTCATGTGAAATATACGTCCTTTCAACGGCGTTCACAATCTCGTTTATCATACAACGAATATGTTTACTTGCCCGTGAAGATAAACGATTCTGGTAAGGAATCTCATAAGAGAGATTGTCGAGAATTTTATTGAAAATCCTTGAAAGAGAAGTCTTTTCTTGGAAGAATTTTATCAATTTACAGATTTATGATATAAATGCTTTAACTCATCATTTTAACTGACATTTTCTTACTTTTAATAAATGTAAAATTCCACAAACTTTATAATCTGAATCTGTTTCATGGTATCAGTTTAACACGCAAGGGACCAAGTGTAAAAAGGGAATGAGAGTTGATATAAAGCTAGAGTTATAAAACATCACTATTATCATTAATCTCTTTTTTTTCTGCTAAATTCACAAAGGGAAAAGATGAAAGGCAAAAGGAAAGTGAAAGGTGGAAAACACTGCAGTTGTTCTATTTATCGCGATTCATATTATGCGCTCCAAATAATCGCGGTCCTCAAGCTTTCTATATCGTTTATTATCATAATCGGCAACGCGATGTTTCTTATTTACATATACGTTCCAGTACCTTGGTGCAATAGTAAGAGCCCTCGCGAGCGAAAAAGCCACCCTGCGCTAAGCTCGCGTTGCACTGAGCGCACTTGAAACACCCTATGTGGAAATACTTGTCCTGCACTCGTAGAACCTCCCCGCTGCACTTCTTCTTGCAAGCCTGACAGAACGTTTTACCTGCAACAGAAAATAATCAAGCCATTCTACAACGTGTTTCGTACAAATATAATGCGTAATATGAACATAGTTCAGTGGATGCTATATAATAATAAAAATGCACGAAACATCTTTTATGCATGGGGACTCGTATTCAACGACTGACGGCTAATCAATCGAAATGATTAACGAGTTATTCTTTCCCCAATCGATTGGTCGCTATTTTTAATGCGATAAACGTAACAAAAGGCAACGCGATTGTTGTGCTGTAACCGTTTTTATCACAGCAGATGCCAATTTAATTTATCAATCGTAGAAAGTACCAAATGGGTTGCAGTCTGTTCTTTGCTTATCATTGATTGTTAGCTTATAGAACGCGTTTTGCGAAGAGAAAGGAAATTTCTTACCAGCATAATATTTTATCTACGATCTTCAAGTCTTTCACTTGTAGAAAGTAAGACCTATTTCACACTAGCTAGTCAAATTTCACTCATAATCAGTTATTTACAATCTAGGATTTTATCAAAGGGCTAAACTTCGTTTTTTAAAATTCTTTCTGCATGATTTAATAGCACTTGATGAAAAAAGGCGAAATACTAAGTTCGGATTGTCAGAATCTATTGATTTAAGAATTATGCGTTATTAAAACGTTAGTAATTTTATAGTATTGTGTAACTCACTCATTTTTTCCAAGACTCATTTTTAACTTATTCATAGTACGTCGTCAATATCTTATTTGATAATATGTTAAATTTTGCCTTGTTAAGGCATTTACATTCAACGATCAACAAGAATTGCAATTGAACGATTTTAACCGCTATCTAAATTCATGTAATCTAACTGTGCTGCTAGTATGAATCAAGCTTAACTGATACAAACATCATGTTTTTTCGTTCTATCCTTTAACCACGAACAACCTGTAGAAAAAGTTTCCCAGATTCCTTATCGAGGAATTCGATGACTTTGTAGAAACTCGGCTAGATACTTCTGCAATTTTACTCGTTACGCTAATTAGTAGCAACTGGAGTGGAAACGCTAAGACGTGTTTTGTACTAGAGTATCCAGGAAGTGGTGTCGTTTTAGTTGCATCAATGATTTCTGTACAAGAAGCGGTTGCTTCTGCCGTAAAATTGTCTCTCAATATTCTCCAACGGGTATACAAATAATATAGAGCGTTTAAAAAATCGTAGTAGAACCGACCAGGCTACGATTTTAGATTTAGTTAGCTACTATTTCTTTCATCCCAATTTATTTCAAACAACTATGATAGCATTTATGGCCCGCTTTCTCAGGCTTTAAAGATCATTAATTAAGTTAGTGCCTCTTGGGATGAATAATCGATTTATGAACTTCGTAGCAAAATTGATAATTTCTAATTCATCTTATCAGGGGAAATAATCAGGTCAACTATTCACCAGTGGTTTAAGATATTCATGAGCAAATACACCTGTAGTTAGACCTGCTCGACACGCGACTCACGTATATCACGAACATGGCGCGTTACAAACGTAATCCGCTCTTTATGGAATTTCTAAAGCGTGATTTAAAAACCTGTCCTATCCCATGTGACAACACATCCTGTATACAATAATATAGAGAAATAAAAGGAACGCGTATAAGTAAATGAAAAAAGAAAAAGAGTGGCAAAAGTATGAAAAAAATGTACGCATATTGAAAATGTGGTTCGGAAAGCGACGGTTCGAGCACTTGTCGGAGTGCTTCAGAATCCAGGTGAAGGTCCGTTCTTTTAACCACAACTGAAGATATTTGAACCAAGAGCAATTACGAAGTTTTAAGATTAAGAAATAAAAGATATGAATAAAAAGTAGGATAGGAAAGATTTGTTACTCTGCTTTGAATTATTTTATGCACAAAACTGAAGAAGAATCATTAAGATTTTATCTTATCAACAAATTACTAAAAGAACATTGACATAAAAGATATTATATAAGAACTTATTTAACCATGAATGAATCAAGAAACATGAACGATAATCATAATTTTTTTATAGTTATCGCGTACCAGCCTATGACCCTGATGAGAAAGAAAGGTGAAAATAACGGTGCTCATGGTTTTTATTAGAATTTGAGTGTTAACAGATGTCACGGTTAACGGAATTTTTCCATTTGCTTTCCAATTTTCCTATATGGCATTACAAAAAATGATAAAATTGACATTTACTTTAATTAGATACTAAAAATTACAGATTTTATTTAATGATGATTGTACAAGTCGTTGTCATAATTAGCGAAAAACTATTAAGAAATTATGAAACCTCTGGGATACAATTGCTGAATAAAAAGAAGATGAACTATTATTAAAGTTTCAACAATAATTACTAAGGTTCATGCGAAAGAAAGGCAATGAACGGTACAATTCATCTCGTCAACTGGAGACCACCCATGGTCATGTAAACAATTTTATTTCCAACTCCAACTGATCACGGCGAATCAGGGATAATTGTAAAAGAAAGGCGATTTTCATTCCTAACTCATTTTTCCTATTGAGTAATCAAATTTCTTTCTGCACGTCTAATTCATCTTATCAGGGGAAATAATCAGGTCAACTATTCACCAGTGGTTTAAGATATTCATGAGCAAATACACCTGTAGTTAGACCTGCTCGACACGCGACTCACGTATATCACGAACATGGCGCGTTACAAACGTAATCCGCTCTTTATGGAATTTCTAAAGCGTGATTTAAAAACCTGTCCTATCCCATGTGACAACACATCCTGTATACAATAATATAGAGAAATAAAAGGAACGCGTATAAGTAAATGAAAAAAGAAAAAGAGTGGCAAAAGTATGAAAAAAATGTACGCATATTGAAAATGTGGTTCGGAAAGCGACGGTTCGAGCACTTGTCGGAGTGCTTCAGAATCCAGGTGAAGGTCCGTTCTTTTAACCACAACTGAAGATATTTGAACCAAGAGCAATTACGAAGTTTTAAGATTAAGAAATAAAAGATATGAATAAAAAGTAGGATAGGAAAGATTTGTTACTCTGCTTTGAATTATTTTATGCACAAAACTGAAGAAGAATCATTAAGATTTTATCTGATCAACAAATTACTAAAAGAACATTGACATAAAAAATATTATATAAGAACTTATTTAACCATCAATGAATCAAGAAACATGAACGATAATCATAATTTTTTTATAGTTATCGCGTACCAGCCTATGACCCTGATGAGAAAGAAAGGTGAAAATAACGGTGCTCATGGTTTTTATTAGAATTTGAGTGTTAACAGATGTCACGGTTAACGGAATTTTTCCATTTGCTTTCCAATTTTCCTATATGGCATTACAAAAAATGATAAAATTGACATTTACTTTAATTAGATACTAAAAATTACAGATTTTATTTAATGATGATTGTACAAGTCGTTGTCATAATTAGCGAAAAACTATTAAGAAATTATGAAACCTCTGGGATACAATTGCTGAATAAAAAGAAGATGAACTATTATTAAAGTTTCAACAATAATTACTAAGGTTCATGCGAAAGAAAGGCAATGAACGGTACAATTCATCTCGTCAACTGGAGACCACCCATGGTCATGTAAACAATTTTATTTCCAACTCCAACTGATCACGGCGAATCAGGGATAATTGTAAAAGAAAGGCGATTTTCATTCCTGACCCATTTTTCCTATTGAGTAATCAAATTTCTTTCTGCACGGTAAACAGAAAAGAAAGAGCAGAAGAGTACATGTGACTTGCTCCGAGTGACATCATCATTCGGACGAAAATACGAGATGATTCAAAGATGAGATATCGCGAGATCCGGACATTATTTTAGAAATGAACGATCGGTCTCAGGTTTTAGGAATTAGTGCTTCTGATAGTTTTGTAGACAATAACAATGCGAGTTGAAATCAAATTCCGATAATTAGTACATGTAAATTAAACGAATAATAACCTATTGCTAATCTGCTTGGGAATAATTAATACAGCTTCGTGAAAGTTTAGAAAGTAACTTAAAGAATGCACGGGCAATGACTAATGTTAATTATTAATATCTACTTAACTATTAATAATTACTGATAAAATACATAATGAACAGTAATATATAGATAATGATTACTATGAGTGGCTTTAAGCAAACATTAAGTGTCATCAACGTACAATGTAATTATGTCCAGGCAAATGTATCAAAGATGTATTAATTTGTCAAAGTATACGTGACTTTTTTTGCAATGCGAAGCGATGAGTGTCGCCTTCCGGAAGCATAAATCAAACTTTCTCGACTCGTTTAAACGTCATCAAGCTGAATCGGTGGGGAAACTTGAGGATCAATGTTGTTAAATCCAGTGTTCTAAAATGCTACCACTGGAGCTTGATTATTTGTCAAGTGGTCGAAATCCGCCGCGCCGCCTGAACGGAAAAAACTGGCTCGGCGCTTAACATATTAATTAACATTATAAATGTTTTATTGTGAATGAAGATCTGCAGTCTAATCAGAATGTACAAATATAAAAGAAATGCGATTGATTTACAGGCAGAATAAACTTAAATATAAAAAATCATATAATCCCTTATCAATCGCGATAATCAGAAATTTCTTATTCATGAGATCCACAAACCCATTTCACCTCGCGACGACTTTAAAAATAGGCGGTGACATCATTCACCACTGCTCGCGTTCGTACATTCTGTATTTGACGTCACGTGAGATAAACTCGATGCGCACCTCGCTCTCTTTCTCTCAAATTGCTTTAATTGTCCATTGGAAATCAATGGCGAACAATTTTCGACCTGCTCATTATTGAAACATTGTAGTATTTGCATCAGGTTTGAGAATTATTTCACTACGAAATATTTGCAGTTCAGCTGCTGATATCCATTGGATTGTAAATAAAAGACAGTTTAAATAATATGTAGTATATATTCGTTTAATTGTGAGTGACAGTGTTAGATTATTTATAAATATAGATAACAAAAATGAATCTTATCTTTAGAAATTCTACCCTTAACATAGCGTGTTTATAATAAGAGGCTATTATGCCAATCAATTGTGCATGCTTGTTTATTACTGGAGGTCTACATCATAAACACCATGCACTGTCGGGGTCGCCTTTCTTTGATTAGACCCGAAAACTTCCTCAAGAGCATTAGGCTGACAGGCTGAAGAACAGATATCCCAAGTCATTATAATAAAAGATTACATCCAACAAGTTTCATTTATTGACCCATTTTCAATAGAGAGTTTCATTTCCTTTTCACAGAAATTCTTGTAAGAAGGTCAGGAATTTATTTATTAGAAACTTCAATCGTTATGATCAGCGAAACTTTATTCAACAAAATAGCGAAAGCTAGAAAATGGAGTACAATGTGACTCGATTAACAGTCGACTAAGAAGTGCCTCCTCGATTGTCCTTCGGTCTTTTTTCCAAATGCGTCCTCTACAACACTTTTCCCAACGAACAGGACCCTCTTACACAAAACATTCGAGTCCCGAACGCATAGACATCTGGCTTCTATCGTCTCGCGCCTTCGCTCTCAAGTTGCCTACGTGCTATTTACTCTTACACTCTCTTTTCTCTTTAGGTGGATATAAATTGATATAAATTGATATATACTTTAGATATACTCTTCTTTTTGAAACGATACATACTTTAGATTGATTTACGATAAATTTAATTAACCAATGGAAATACAAATACTGTTTTCTTTATAGTAAGAAGTAAGTAATAAATTAAACTAGAAACATAAAATCAAATAAAAACGATTCGGATTTGTTCAATTTAATTCTTCATAAGATTTCATCCGTCAGCATAACGGTACTAGTTATTGAATCGTAATAAGCTCGATAGAACTCATGGTATGATTGAAACGAGAACGATGTTTGAATGTACATCTTTGGAACTCTGCTCTATTATTACAGGGCTATTATTATATGTTACGTATCCATGTATTACTAGAGTAGTTACGAGGATGGTTATAAAAACAGAATAATTGAAAGGAGGATGAGTATTACGATAGTAGAGTTGCCATTCACAAGTAACCGGGTCATTGCTCTGTCAGGCATGTGTAAAAGCACTTCGTGATACAGCTATGTTTCAAAACACTATTATTTTTCAAGTAAAATAATTGAGTGAAATAGTCGAGTACAAGCTAAACTACCGATGGTCAAACAAGAAATCTTAATCAATCATAAGTGACAACCACATTCTTTCTTAATAAATTACACTTAAGATGAGTAAANAAGATAAATAGGTTTTTTTGAGATATGTCTTGTTTTTGAGGACTAAAAGACGAGAGACATAAAGCATGCAAAACATTTTACTTATCTACTTTTTCATTACGATATTTCTTTGAGAAAACGACTCTGTAAATGAAACCATTGACTTTTACTACTTTTTGTCTTTTGATTCGTACCTCGAAGTGGGTCACAACTAACAGTGGAGTAGTCTAGACTCGGAGAACTCTGGCACGAGTCTTAAAAAAATTAATTACCCCTTGAAAGATGTAAATCGTGTACATAAAGAAGAAACTTCAAAGACTGTTAATTCCAAATGTAAATTATACAGATTTCGCGTTCGACCAAAATAGTAATTCGCCATAATGGTAATGTTAAGATAATCGACGAAACCGCAGAAAATAACGTTTCTTTTTCTTCTTTTTTTGCACCGAACCGAACCGGTTTCAGCTGCTCCAGAATGTCACACGATTCAACAACACACTGTAATAGAAATCCATCATCGAGACGAGTGACCCGTTCCACACACGTTTCTCTCTGCTTCGGTATGTTAATATGATTCATAAGTGGACTAAATAGGATGTCGCAAAGTGGGGTCAAACATGATGACCCCTAAGTGGTCGGCTCCTTCTCCCGATGCACCCTGGGTCACATAATCGACCAACGATCGAATGTGTCTAATAGATACTCGACAATCACTATCAATTATTACATGATTTTTATGTAACAATTGAAGATACTAAGCTGCCACAAGAGGAAGACACAAAGCTTATACTTTTGTTCGAAACACAGTGACACGTCTAACAGAATTATTAACAGGTCAAACTATTAAAAAGGTCCAATCAAATGTAAATCAATCCTACTCAGAACATTTTGTTATCTCACATGCTTGTCCATCTGATCTTCGCTTACTTAATTAAATTATACCACGTACCTTCGTGGAACAACAATTATGAAATGATTCGATGAAGATATTTGGCAACAATTATCGCCAATCCTATTACCACGTGAACACGAACTCGCGCGTAATCAAATTAGAACTTACGAATGAATTTGTTACCACTCACGTGACAAGAGGTTGTTAAAAAGATCTTCTTCTTTTATATATATGTAACAATATTTTTCGACTACTGGTGCGGTCGTAAGTCGATCACAAGCCCAGTCTATGTATTAAACGTTATCAGAAGTTTGACTTTTAATAGCTCGCTGTTAGTGCTTATCAGCATTTTTGCAAGCTTTTATCTAGACGTATCAAAAAAATACTACTTAATCGTTAAGTACGATGACGATAAGAGGCCTACATTATCTTCGACGACGTTACCGTCATTAACATCCAATTTAAAAATTTCGTGCATGAATCGAAAATGAAAGGTCATCCTTAAAATAAGGAAGATATGTGCGCACCAAAACGTTCAATACAATCTCGAGTAATTAAAACGATGCGTCGTGATTAGAACACGTTAATTGTTCACCGCTTATGCAACAGGATGCAATAAGCCTGTTGAGTACAGTAAGCCTGTTCAGTACAAGTAACTACATAGTGGCTGCATGTTACAACTATTTAATAATGTACCAAACATGATCAGGTGGTTGGCATACAAAGGAACGAATAAAAAATTGAATTACAAAATGCTTAAATACAATGATCACTTGATTTTTATCGAACCGATGCCGAGAGATTGGTAAGACTGTATTGCGATAATTGCTACCAGTACAGAACAGTCAGGTGATGAAATGACTCATGAAACATTATCACGGTTCTTACATTTCTAGTATCTTGTAAGATTCAAGTAAGGTTGAAGGTACCAAGTAGAATTTTTGGTTCGTCAGATGTAATTGAATATCTTAACAATGTATAGAGTAGAATGAATGAATAAAAGACACGATCTAAGTAATATATTATAATTAAACTACGGATTGTTGTGCAAAATAAAACTCTTATGATATGAAAAAATGAAATGGAAGTTACAATTTCTTTTACCCTTTAAAAATAATAATGTGCATATGCGCATGCACATTCTTATACATTACACATATTCCTCATATTGTCCGACACAAACTTGACTTCCAGATAAAATTCCTAACTTGATCATAATTAATGACTATAATAGAAAGTCCAATAATGTTATTTCGCGATTCTTGACCAAACATGATCGAAAGCATTGATCAAATTATTTGATTAAGTAAAACTACTGAACCGGAAACCGAAAACATAACATTGAGTGAACGGCATGCTGTTGNATAACAAATTCAACATGTTAGCATCGTTTAAGTATATAGCCTATACATCCTTAATAGAAATCGCTTCTTTTTTAATTTTAAAGTTTCACACGATGTAACTGTGCCACTGAAAAGCATAAATATTGAAACTGCATAAATATTGAAAAGTCCTATCCTACACTTCCACTATCTTTTTTATGGACGATCGTTTCTCTGTTTAAAGATGCATCGATCGTGTCTGTACGGTCACGTTCTTTTTGCTGGTCGCGTCACGAACATCGGGGGAAAATCGTGACGAGCCATTCGAGGAAAGAAAGAACCAATGAACTTTTCGTCTGTTTCAAACCAAAGAAAAACATCGATTCAATATATTTTTTTCTTAATTTCGCAGCAAGTCGGTTTCTAAACTTCGTATATCTATTGATTTTATCTAATCGCGCGGCTGATATCAATGTTTATTTAAAATTTCACGTTTTGCAATCGATAGTGTAGCCTGAGTAAACATTATCTAATTGTAAGACTCGCGAATGATGTCATTTAATTTGGTATAATTAGTTATATCATGGGCGATCTATTAACGCGGATGATGTTATGTCAATTTCAAGGTTTCCGGTATATATCCAAATGAAGATTACATTAAAGATTTTTATTGAAAAGTATTTCTAAATCTGATTTCAATTACTGAGTACATGTCGAATACAACGTGACGTAATTTCATCTAACAATTCCACTTAATGAATCTACACAACTGTATGTTAATATTTGAACAATAACTTCGCGATAAGCGAGTACTTGAATTCTAAGAATCCTGACCGACCTTTTTCTTTACGATAGATAGAAAATATATATGGTATTAACAGTTATTGCTTCGACTCAGCTATTTCACAATTGCCATACTACTTAATTAGACAGCTTTATTTAGACACTGCCTATTCACAATTATATTCTATTATTTGTTTCTTAATTTATTGGCTCCAGTATAAATAATAATTCTCGATTTTTTGTAATCTTTGAGACTAAGTAATTTGAATCGCTGGAGCCGAAAATTTTACAAAATTGCAATTGAATAATAGATGTGTTATTTCTCTTTGCATCATTCATTCGTATACTCATTGTCAGTATAATGCTGATTTACTCAACAAAAAGAGCCCTTACCCTTCTTCAGCTGCTTCAGCTTGAGTTCCTGGTCTCTCTTGACCCCGTTACTTTCACTCGCAATCAAATTTTCGCTCGTCTTCGACTTCATTATTCTGGCCGGTCTCGACGATTACGTAACACTCGTCGCAAGGCGGACCTCACCTCTCGTTTCGCTTTCCGCACACCGCGATAAGATAATCGAACCACTATGGCGTTTCCTCGCGTGATCTTTTCAAAGTGAAAACGAAAAATTATATCCAAAAAAGAACTTGCAACCCGAGATTCTGTCGCGAAGCGACTTTAGTTAGCACTCGGTAATGATGAATCATAAGAACGTGCGACAGTCCATAGATCGTTTCGAAGTCATTCACCGCACGATACTACCAAAGCGAGCGCCAATCGCAGACTGATCCTGATGCCGAGCCGAGACTGCCGAGAGTCCAGTGATCGAGGCCAGAGCCCAGAGGCGCTTGCTAACGATCCCTGCGTCGCGTTTCGATTGCCGGTTGACGTTTACTTTTCATGGTCGATTCCTCTGCCGTGATTGCAAGATCGTGGTTCATACCGAAAATACAGCTGATCTCATCAATTATGAATATACATTATAATAACCAGTCGTCTGTTATCAGTATGTCTCGTTTTGCGGAAACATCGCCGGTGTTCAAACATTAATCATCCTGAGGACTATCGAAAAAAGGTTGCGACGCACTTGCTGTTTATTTCGTATATGTATTCTTTCAGTAATCAACAGTTTAACATCCACAGAAAAGAAAAATGGAATCTCTAATTCCATAAAATTTTAATAAATAATCTGCATCTTAAGAGTATTTAAATAAACTAAAGAAGATATTTATCGTATTTCGTTAGTATTGAAAATTTCAAATGAAATGGTATGACAACAGTAAAACTATAGTTGACCCTATGCTCCGTAATTTTATAACTTAAATAAATTCCTGTTTTATATTACAACTTAAATATATACTTTAAGGTAAAGTGATTTAAATTAATATATTTGATTAAGTATTTGGTACCAATCACTTATATTTTGTATCAGCGCAATATGCCCTTTCTATTAAAGGGGTTAATAGAACACAGGCTGTTTTAAATCAGAGTGCAAGTATATTTAGTTTCACGACATCCTCCAGGTTACATCAAAGCATTGCTCTCCCTTTTTTCTTTAAATAGCTTACAATGGCTTCTTGTACGTTATAATAATTATCTGGTTCAAGATTAACAAGGACAATAGTTACCTTCCCCGGTAGAATGATTTTCTCGAATAAGCACGTAGAATTATTTCTTTTTTGAGTATCTAAGCAACCGAAGAACAAGGTCGATGGGATCGACATACGAAGGGTTAAAAGGCATAGTTATATGAGTCACGTTTCAGGATTAAAAGGTTCCGGAAATGGTACAGCTGTTCTGTTAACATGCCTACATTTTAGTGCTATCAATTTCCAAGCCAGATGAGTTACGAATTACTTCACGTTTTCTTTGACCGTACTAGCGTTTGTAACTGTGGAAATGCAAGCAATAGCGATCTTAAAAATCACTGACCATGCCTGTGGCACCACATGGTAGTCCCCACCGTCGTGAGGGATTTCTTATATCATCCCTGCTTAAGGGATACTGGACACACTTCGCATGCATACATAGAAAATGTGGCATGTTCTCTCTCTTTCTATCTTTAATGCTTCCCACGCGTCGTTGTCAGAGCGTACGTATTTTCTATGAGTACAAAATGAATCTGAAATGCGTTGTGTTACCTGTACGTACATACTAGCATTGGCACAACATTAGCCAGAATTGTATCATTATCAATTAATTAACCAAGAATTTAAAAACAAGGTGATCGTATTTTACAGTTCACATTCCCGGTTCTAAGTAATTATGAAATGGTATGACAACAGTAAAACTATAGTTGACCCTATGCTCCGTAATTTTATAACTTAAATAAATTCCTGTTTTATATTACAACTTAAATATATACTTTAAGGTAAAGTGATTTAAATTAATATATTTGATTAAGTATTTGGTACCAATCACTTATATTTTGTATCAGCGCAATATGCCCTTTCTATTAAAGGGGTTAATAGAACACAGGCTGTTTTAAATCAGAGTGCAAGTATATTTAGTTTCACGACATCCTCCAGGTTACATCAAAGCATTGCTCTCCCTTTTTTCTTTAAATAGCTTACAATGGCTTCTTGTACGTTATAATAATTATCTGGTTCAAGATTAACAAGGACAATAGTTACCTTCCCCGGTAGAATGATTTTCTCGAATAAGCACGTAGAATTATTTCTTTTTTGAGTATCTAAGCAACCGAAGAACAAGGTCGATGGGATCGACATACGAAGGGTTAAAAGGCATAGTTATATGAGTCACGTTTCAGGATTAAAAGGTTCCGGAAATGGTACAGCTGTTCTGTTAACATGCCTACATTTTAGTGCTATCAATTTCCAAGCCAGATGAGTTACGAATTACTTCACGTTTTCTTTGACCGTACTAGCGTTTGTAACTGTGGAAATGCAAGCAATAGCGATCTTAAAAATCACTGACCATGCCTGTGGCACCACATGGTAGTCCCCACCGTCGTGAGGGATTTCTTATATCATCCCTGCTTAAGGGATACTGGACACACTTCGCATGCATACATAGAAAATGTGGCATGTTCTCTCTCTTTCTATCTTTAATGCTTCCCACGCGTCGTTGTCAGAGCGTACGTATTTTCTATGAGTACAAAATGAATCTGAAATGCGTTGTGTTACCTGTACGTACATACTAGCATTGGCACAACATTAGCCAGAATTGTATCATTATCAATTAATTAACCAAGAATTTAAAAACAAGGTGATCGTATTTTACAGTTCACATTCCCGGTTCTAAGTAATGTTTGCGACATCGAGTCACGTACATGAGTACAAAGGCAGAATTCTCCAGAGTCAAGGCGAGCTGTACCACACGATGTCGTTAGGTCGAGGACCAACGAACGAACACACAAGGGAGCTTGCGTAAATATTCTGTTTATCCTTCTTCGGTCAGGAACAAGCAGAAGCTTGTAAGTACATGCTGCTTCCAGCCAGCTGGAGAAATAATACTCAGACGGGTGAACTTCCTGTGCTCAGTCTGGTTAAAATTCGTCGGAGTAAAAGACTCGAAAGAAAGGCGTTATATTTTATCCTTGAAAAAGTACTGCAATTTGACCAACAAACTGCTGCTTCTCGTTTCAAATCCAAGAACGTAAAAGACAATCGTTGATAGGCATATTAGAATTATTTATACAGAAGTATATAAGTATTATCTTGAAATCAATTATGTGATCGGTTATTATGTTACCAGATGTGTGTGCGTTGAGAAGAAATTCTACACTGGACACACGTTATCTGCTTTCAGATAGCGCTGGTATGCATTACAAACAAGCATAGATACTGTCAATAAATTCTTACTTGGAATCAACCAGTTTATTTATGCAATAGTAATTACAGACATTATGAAGAGTTGCACTTATTGCACTATTTAGATAAGTCATTTACGCGAAGCTTTCGTGTGAACATATCTTGTTCAACATCGTCTACAGGAGACTATTCTGAAAAAGGAGGAAAAACGGAGCACGCGTAGAGATCCAGTGGGGCGTGATCGATCAGAGCTTGATCAAGATTCAGGAATGCGTGACGGTTAGTATCGTGCTTCGAATAGGAGAAACGCGCAACGAGAGGGAAAAATAAGAACGAGAGCGCACGATGCGCGTCGAGTGTCAATACCTGCGTGACTCACGCGTAGCGGTTTTTTAATTCTTTCTGAGTTTAGTGTTAGCGAGGCTCGATTATGTTACTGGCGAGTATAGAGTGAAAAACATGATTTAAACTGTTGTATATACGTAACAATTTTTTCTTCAATACTTAGGCGTTTCATTGTCTCGCAGTATTTCGACGAGCTGGACACACCCGAAGATTGCGCAAGACGTATATACATATGTATGTACATATGTGTGTACAAAATCCGTTTAACTCGCGAGAAGTGTCCACGGTGACCGCAATCTTCGCCGCGCTCCCATTTTGTCGCAGTCAACTTGTTTCGACGATAAGACAATTAAGTAGCAAGAGGTAAAGAAGTCTCGCGTGACTTACCTTCTTTCTCTATTTCGCGAATTCGATACGCGTCAAGGAGACACGTGAGAGGATGGTGTTAACACGAATCGATCTTCGGTTCTGTCGTTTCCATCTTTTATTTTCGAATTCGTTTTAACTCTCGCGCTCGAACATACGTGTACTCATAGGTACACCTATATAACACGCTTTAACTGTTAATCGATGATGCAGCGAGAGAGGAGGAAGCCAACTTTCATTTCTTTTTCATTTTCATGCATATCGCAGCTTTCTCTTACTGCACTTTCAACGATTGTTCGAATAAACTATTCAGTACAATACAATACCCTGACACATACTTCAAATCGATTTTCATGCATGTAGGCTAACTAGTTACCTGGTAGACGACAAACGTTTAACAAATATGAACGCAATTCAGATATTTCTACCTTGATATTCTTGCACAAGAAGTGGTAGAGATTTCCCAACGTCGTCGAATCGCAGAAGGACGAAGTGAATTAATAGTACAGACGTAACTGTATCTGCTTATGGGATAATAAACAATATTTAATCGCATTTCACAAGTTATGCAATCAGGGTGTTACATTACATCTAGCCTGGTGATTTCCTCGAAGGACCTCCGCCTAACCCGAATACAACTACTAGGCACGGGAAAATATCGATCCAAGCAGACATTCGAGAGAGAAGAGACCGAGGATTCCGACGATTCGGCCGAGTGCCCTCTGTCCCGATGTGCGATGGGGGAATTCCTTCAAATCTCTTACTGTACGCTATTGTATAGTGTTCTCGCAGTCATATACTATTTTACTCCCAAAGGAAATTAAATCAGAAAACTACAATTTCAACGTTATACCGCAAAAATAAACATTTTATTATTTCCTACATTATCATTAATGTCTTATCTATTTACAATAGGATCGATATTAAGTACCCCATACAGGGTATTTCAGAAAAAGTGTTAGAGCCGAAAGGGGGTGATTCTGGAGGTGTTTCTGAACAAAAAATTCCTTTGGTAAAATGCAAAGTGAGCCATGGTTTTTGAATTAGTAACGAAAAACACTGACCAATGAGAGGCTCGCACCCATCCACGGATAGGTTGGTTCGGATCGTGACGTTTAGCTGGGGTTTATTGTTAGCGCGGGCTATACACGCGCTCTTATTGTGTCAGTATTTTTCATTGATAATTTAAAAACCATGCCTCACTTTGCATTTTGGCAAAGAAAATTGTTGTTCAGAAACACTTACAGGATCATCTCTCTTCGACTCTAACACTTTTTCTGGGACACACTGTATAGAAATTACATTCCCTTGAACGCAACAATGCGTAACT